AAAGCATCGGCCACTACGTTCGCCTTTCCTGGATGGTAGTTGATAGTACAATCGTAATCCTCCAGAAATTCCATCCACCGTCGTTGCCTCATGTTCAATTCCTTCTGTGAGAAAAGGTACCTCAGCTTTTGTGATCGGAGTAAACCTCGAAGGTTACCCCATATAGGTAGTGTCTCCACTTTTTAAGAGCGAAAACAACGGCAGCTAGCTCCAGATCGTGGGTCGGGTAATTCTGCTCGTGAGGTTTTAACTTCCTCGAGCAAAAGATATCACATTTCGGTTTTGCATTATACACAACCCACCTTCTCGTGACGCGTCGTATACACGCAAATCCGTCACCTCCTTTGGTAAGACTAGAACTGGAGCCATGGTCAATCTCTTCTTTAATTCTTGAAAACTTGTCTCACTTCGGGCATTCCAAATGAACCGACCATGTTTCTTCGTCAATCGGTTAGAGGACCGGCTAGTTTGGAAAAGTCCTTGATGAAACGCCGGTAATATCCAGCCAGTCCTAGAAAGCTGCGGACCTCTGTGGGATTTTCTGGCCTCTTCCAATTAGTCACAGCCTCTACTTTGCCGGGTCAACTGAAATACCCTCTTGAGAAATTACGTGCCCAGAAAAGCAATTTTCTCCAGCCAAAATTCGCACTTGCTGAACTTGGCGTACAGTTGATGTCTCTTAGGTTTGTAAGACAATCCTCAAGTGCTCATGCTCTTCACGGTCTTGGAATAGACCAGGATGTCATCGATGAAGACTACTACAAATCGATCCAGGTAGGGCTTAAAAACCCTATGCATTAAATCCATGAAGGCGGCAGGAGCATTGGTTAATCCAAAGGGCATAACTGCGAACTCGTAATGCCCATATCTCGAGTTGAAGGCAGTTTTCGGAATATCCTCCTTCCTGATTAATAACTGGTAATACCCTTGTCGGAGGTCCAATTTTGAAAAGACCACTGCTCCTTGCAGCTGGTCGAACAACTCATCTATGTGGGGCAGTGGATACTTATTTTTCACCGTAATATTATTCAGGCCCCGATAATCGATACACATCCTAACCCACCATCTTTTTCTTCACAAAAGTACAGGAGCTCCCCAAGGAGACCCACTCTCTTGAATGAATCCCCGCTCCAGAAGGTCCTGTAATTGTAACTTTAGCTCCTTGAGCTCAGCAGGAGCCATTCGGTATGGTGTTTTTGAGATAGGTGAGGATCCCGGTAGCAGGTCTATTTTGAATTCAATCTCTCTTTCCGGAGGTAAGGCTACTAACTCATCAGGAAACACGTCCGGAAATTCCTTCACTATGGCCACATCCTCTACCTTCACTTTATCTGTGGGGTGTTGATCAAAAGGCCAAAAATCCTTGCGCCCCTCTACTTAGCAATTTCCTAGCCCGAATGCCCGAAATCAAAGCAGATGAGGCTAACCGACCCCTTATATCCAACCTTAAGGTCGCCTCACCAGGAATGCGGAATTCTACCACTTTTGTTTTACAATCCAGTTGGGCGTTATACTTGACTAGCCAGTCCATACCCAAAATCACATCATACCCCTTAATGACCAGACTTATCAAATCCCCTAACAATCTTTTCTCTCCTACCCACACTTCACAATCCCTATAAACCATACTAATAACCAAGCGTTGATTCCCCGTAGGTGTACTAACTTCTAGGTCGTATGGTAAACTAGCAGGTTTTATATCGATGCCACACATGAAATCAGGGTTAACAAAAGAATGAGTGGCACCAGGATCAATTAAAACTTTAGCAAAACGGTGAAAAATAGAGATCGTACCTTCTACGACCTCTGAGGAATCTGGGATCTGTTGAGGTTCTAACGAATATACTCGAGCTGGCACTTTAGGTTTCGCCTCATTCCCCTTATTCTGTCCCGTATTGGTCTTTGACGTGGTTTGAGTTCCCTTTCCGTCTTGCTTTAAGAGTGGGCATGTAGCAAGCTAGTGGTCTGCGCTTCCACATCGCAGACATTTGCCTCCCTTCTTCCAGCAATTATCTTCGGAATGATTCGACTTTCCGCAGTACCCACAAGGCCCGCGGGACGCCGAACCTGAACCCTTTTGGAAGTTTTCGCCTTGGCCTCTCCCGGCTGGGCCACCCCTAGACTGAGCCCCTCTGCCGGAATCTGACTGTCGTCCACCTCAGCTCCGCGTCCGAACTTGGAGGGAATACCTTTATCTCCTTGTCCAGAGCTGCTTCCAGGAAAGTCCCGCTTTTTCGCCTGGAAGTTCCGTACTTGTACCCGGGCACTCTCTACCCGTTGGGCCTTCTCAACGGCCTCGCTAAAAGCATTGATTTGAGCCACTACGAGGTCCTTCTGAATTTCCACGTTTAGGTCCTGGATAAAACGCCTAATTCGCCGTTGCTCTGTCACAATCAACTCAGGCGCAAATTTGGACAGGCGGTGAATTGACTCTCGTACTCCTCTACCGATTGAGCCCCTTGGCGGAGTTGGATGAACTCGTCTTCCTCTCTCCTGAACTAGAGGAGGAAAAAATTTCGCGTTAAACTCACTCATAAAATTTACCCAAGTGCTGGGCGTTTGCTCCCGCTCCCATTTTTGCCGAACGACGTTCCACAAGAGCGGGCCGCTCCTTCCAGCTGGAAAACGGCAAAAGTCACCTGTCGTTCTTCAATATAGTGCAGGGCAGTGAAAATATCGACCATCTTTTCAAGCCACCTCTCGGCGACATCCGGATCGGGTCTCCCAATGAACTTGGGTGGAGCAAACTTTTGAAAACGTTCGAGAGCTCTGTCTTTGCTCTCGACATGATTGCTAGGGTTTCCAGGATTAGGGTTTGGGTTCTGGCCTTGTTGCTGCACCACTTGTGCGAGCAGGTTAGTCATTTGCTGCATAGCGGCAGCGATTTGCACATTGGGGTCAGGGTTAGGTCCAGAAAAGATTTCCCAGTACCCCTATCCGGTGTGGGTTGTCTATTACCGCGCCCATGGCCCCGTCCACTACGTGTGCCTTCCATGAACTTTACTTGGTCTAGACAAATGTATTAAACCAATATAAGAACAATGCATGTAAGTAAAACCCAAAACTTTTCCAAGCAGATAGATACATTCCAAACAAGGCAAACAACACACATAGCAACAAGCAGTCAAGTCAAGTACAGTCAAGTCAAGTACAAACATGGACAATCCCCAAGGGAATGGCCTCATCAAAAGAAATATACACGTAGCTAATCTAGCCGTACAAAACGATTAGCTAAGGCTCTTTCCCTATCCGCCCTATGTACAGAAGCAAAACTATCCAAAACAAACCCTAGGAGTCTTGACCTAGTCCGACGACGAGCTAGTAGACCCACCCGACGGGGTGGATCCAACCCCAGCCTCGGCCCCCACACATGAGTCCTCGTTACTCACGCCCTCAACCACGTCAGTGCAAAGATTCAGGATCGATGCAGCTCGAACCTTCACCTTGCGAGCTCGCTTAGTCTCGCGCTCTTGGATTTCCCTAAGCTGAGCGCAGAGGTTATCAACCCTATACTCTGCCTCAACTATGTCGTCCTTAAACCCTCAATGCGCTCGGCCTGTCTCTCATTGGCCGCCCTAAGCTGGGTCACCTCGGCCTCAAGTCTCGCATTCTCTCCGGCCAACTCCTTACGCTCCTCGGCCACGGCAAACACTAGAGCGTTAGGGTAAACATACTTATGTCGACACTCACACCGTCGGAGACGGTTAGACGGGCTCCAACGCACGACGGACCCTCCTGGCCGTATCTGGTATGGTATCACGGGGAGCGCTCCACGAGGTCTCTCGCCCGGAGGACTATCACTAGGCTCACCCTATCCGGCCATCCTATACCAAAAGAGCAATGAACCATAAATAAGCTTAAAAGCCATAAACAAAGAACCCTCAAATCGAGCATTTCTATTACACCCAGGTTAATTCAAACCTAGACTCTGATACCACCTGTGACTGCCCCACCTTCCCCTAAGGCGAACCAAAGGGGTTAGCGGACTGCCTGTCCAGCTCTCGCCAGGACTAACGGCACATACTTTCAGTCCGCTAACCCCTTTGGTTCGCCTTAAGGGAAGGTGGGGCTGTCAGATACTTACTGTTATAACTAGTGTCGTATATGATGGAACCTATGGAAATACTTTCATAGTAATGTATATTCAACTGGTGGTGAGTATGATGTAAACCTCATGCAGGAGTATTAGTTTTCACTATGATTTAAGTTGAAGCAATAGTTATCAACGAATTGTTCTAAAAGCTGTTGCATGTGCGCTATGCATGTGCTTGATGAACGTTCTTTTGTCTTTGGCAATAAGCGCAATCATAGTGTTTTGAAGCTCTATAAACAGTCTTTTAGTGTACTCTGGCATGAGCTTTCATGACTTAGATCATTACCAAACTTCAGAGCTCTTGCGTAGTGTTCTATTGCTGGGAAATGTGTGGGAAAGTGAATTAAAGTTGGTTACTTTTCCTTTGTGCATTTCATTTGCAAGACAAATCTTCAAGTGTTTCCCCCCACTTTCCTGCATTCTGTGTCCTGAAAAATATGCAGGATTTTGCAGGAAAAATATCAGTGATGCATTAATATCCTAAATAATGTACCACTACATATTTTCTCTGAAATATATTTTTGTCAAACAAACATGCATCAGAAATCAATTTCTTTCCTTGACCTCTCTCTCCTGCCCTAGAAGCTATTCTTGTACTTGACTATTGTATTTACACATCAATCTTCATAGTTAGTGCTGTGTTCTGCACCAAAATCTCACAGCATAAGGACACAAAGGGCTCATTGTGAGGGTCATTTTTGTAGAAACAATTTCCCTGTCAGAGATTTGGCTTGGACTAATCCTTCATGATGTTTTCTTATTCTGATTGGTGTGAATCCTAGTATTGTTTCCATCCTCACAAACAGCCATGAATTGATTCAGCCGTAGGCTAATTGTGTTCTAACATAGAATTCCTTGTTGGATTTTCTTGGGATGTTGTTATTGATAAGCTGGGTAACTAACTAAAATGGGTTGGTTTTAATGCAATTTCCCCCCCCCCCCGGGGGGTGTGGTTAGTCAATATGCATGCTATTAGCCCATAGGATTCTTCTGCATTCAGCTGTGTATGTGCAGAAGCTTGAAGTGTAACATTTGCTAAAATGATGTTTCTCACTCTCTGGCTTGATTATATATGCGTGCTCTTATCTTATAGGATTCTTCTGTAGTTAGCTGTATATGTGCAGATGCTTGAAGTGTAACATTTTTTATCATTAGACAGGGTTGTGAGTATCCATCAAGGAGCTGGATACCCTATTGACTCTGGCTGGCAGAGAAAAAAGAGAAAATTAGAGCAGGAAGAAGCAGAGAGAAATATGCAAATACTGCTGGATTCTTACATATCTTAAGGAAGCAAAAAGTTGACGAGCTTAACGAGGTTTGTGCACTAGATTATGAGAAAGGCATCTTGATATACCCTGCTGCTGATGCACCTGAATTGGCACCATTTGTTTTTGCTTTTGCTTTGGTTCACTAGTGTATTCATCCGTCATCAGTTAAGTTGTTGATATTTCATGTCCCTAGCTACTGGGATATTAGAATGTTTAGTTGTTTTTGTCTGCATTCATGATTCTTCAAGGGCATGGAGATATTAAAATTGCTAGAAAGTTCAGCCCCGTAAAATGATGATGGATTTTTTCGTCTTCTAAGAGCTGTTTGAGAGCTCTTTTTAAAGTGTTTTTGGCTGCTTTAATATTTACAAAGAAATTAACTAGTTTTGAGAAGCTTGTAGATGAGCTTTTCAGAATTACTTTTGTTTGCTATGATGATAGTGTGCCTTTGAAATTTAAACTTAATTTGTACAATGTACTTTTTTTTTTGCAACTTTTTTCTTTTAAAACTTTTATGAAACTGTGCCCTTCAGTAGCATATCTGAAATTCAGTGTATGGCTACTTGTATGTTGTTAGCTGTACATAATTTATTTTCCAAATATTTATCTGTCCATATCTTTAGGTCAAGTTTGGTAGTACAGATTTTGATGTCGAGGCATTTGCTGTTCTTCTTGGTTCCAATTTTTCCAGTTGTAATTTCATGGGTGTATATGTTATTTGCTTTTACATGTCATCCATTCAACTTTTCTTTTACATTGCAAGGAAGGATTTCTGAAATTGATGATTAAACTGGGTTTTACCAATTTCTAAGTTTGTCTGGCTTTCCTGTGCCACATATAAAGGTTACATTACATGTACAAATTTGGTGGGATTGCATGTTCTCCCTTTTCTGCTTTTGAAACTAACATAATTGATCAGTATAACACTTATGTTCTCCATGTCCTGTCTGCAGTATATCTGAAGTTGTAATGGTTGATGCAGTACATTCACAAATTATTTGAAAAAAGTTTTATATGTTTTTGGAGCTGGTTTTATTCTCAAATAGGTGTCGGATTAGCACAATGAAAGGCTAATAATTTTGGATGCAACATTTTAACAGACAGGAAAGCTCAATTGAGTTGGAAACACTTTGTTGGTATCTTTTGGGAAAAGCTTGTTTCTTGCTTCCTAATTTTTTGAAAGCAGAAGTTATGTACTCTGGCAAGTAGGCCTCCTCTAATCTTCACTATGTAGATGGTGTAGAAGTGTAGAGTGAACTTTTACAAGCTTTGAAGGTGGCTTTGTTATGGGGATTGGTTTGTCCTAATTTCCCACTCTCCTACCTATTGAGTCTTTTCCTGATTCATAATGGTTCCTCGCAATATAGATGTAAATTAATGGATAGTTATATTTATCAAAGAAGTGAATATTCATAATCACTTGACCTCAAATTGATACCAAATTTGATTGTCACATTAGTTTCCTATTAAATTATTACTGTAAAAGCTGACATACTATGCCTTAGAAGTGTGTTCACCACTAGTGATATTTTTTTTTTCTTCATCTTTAGATACAAAATGATCTTCAGTATATTAAAGAAGACATTAACGCAGTTGAGAGGCATCGAATAGAGCTGTACCGGGTAAGGGACAGGTTTTCACTGAAACTGCAGGTGTTATCAGATGATTGCTTGGGTGTGAGATCACGTTCTATCCATAGATAGGACAAGCAGTGGACTTGTTTCCAGTTCTCGTAGTGCTCATGGAGGAGCTACTGGGAGCTTTCAGTATAAGAGAGGGGATTCAAAAGCTCAATTCAGCTCTCCTGCAAACCACAGGAAGGATGCTTCTCTTAGTGGATTAAATACACAGCCTATGAGTCAATCGGGCCTAGCTGTAGTACGGAAAAAGCGAGTTCATGCTCAGGTTAGCATTTTTAACTTGCTATGGATTTTGTCTCATAAATTTACCATTACAGTGGCTCACTCTTCTGCTTATGTTGCTTTTGGTGTAGTGTATGGTAGGAATGGCAAAGGGCCGAGTTTGGGGCGGGGGTCCCCTGTGTGGTTAATAAAAATTTGTCATATAATTTCATTGTAGTCAAATTTTAGCAAATAATTAAGTACTAAAATATCAATACATTACCAAATCATTATACATTGTAGTTTTACAATTGAAACCCATAAAAACTATCAAACAAAAACTATTGGAGTACAATCCAACATGATGAAACAACATGATGAAACAAATACAACTAAAGTAGTCAAGTTTTCACTTTTGAAATAAATACAATCACTAAGTCATTATTGTATTTTTTGTGAGAAAAAAAGTGTTATCCCTTGTGTATGGACCCATCGTAGTTTGTTATCTGTTGATAACTTTTACAGAACTCATTTGCTTTCTATTCTTTATGATGGTTGGACAAAGGGCTATGGTCCAAAAAGTTCACTGTCTGCTGTTAATTTACTTTTATAAGGTGACTGGGCCTTTTTTTTTTGGGTGCCAAATTCCTAATAGCTATAAATTTTATTGCAGTTGGGATTTTTATGTTAGATTTACAATTCATCTAATAGTTTGCTCTTTTTCAACACCAAAGTCCTTATATATGTCTTTGCTTGCAGTTTAATGATTTACAGGAGTGTTACTTGCAAAAGAGAAGGCAATTAGCCAAGCAGTTATTTAATCAAGAAGAGAAGGGTAGTACCATCGCGCACAGAGAAGGTTATAGCGCAGGTCTGGCAGATTTTCAAACTGTACTCAGCACCTTCACGCGATACAGGTAAAGTTACTCATTTTCTGTTACATGAAATACTCGTATGTTTTTTAAATTTAATTCAATGCACTAAAATGGCTTTGTATCTTGTGTTGTGGAGTAGTGTCGGTTAAGAGTGATTGCAGAGTTAAGGCATGGGGATATTTTTCACTCTGCCAATGTTGCCAACATTGTCTCAAGGTAATTGGGATTATCTCCTTATAATTAGTGGACAACTGTTGTTATCTTCTTCTGTAGTTGACTGAGCTAGTAGTTACTTATGTAAATAGTCAGAGTAGCAACTAATGCGAAAGATTGACCAATGCCTTTTCCCAACTAAATGGTAGCAATTGTTCACCTGATATTTCTTCTGAAATAAGCAGAAAAGCTGGATGAACTTGAGTTGGAATAGTTATGCTAGCTAGAGAGATTGTGTTGTTGTATTGGTATATTGTTGTTGAGAGAGACTTCTTCAGTTCTTTTGGCTTCTATACACTGACAATTTTTTAATTGTTAAACTATACATGAGTGATTTACCATGTTGCAGTATAGAATTTGATCGGGATGATGAACTGTTTGCTACTGCTGGAGTTTCACGCCGAATTAAAGTTTTTGACTTCTCTTCAGTGAGTTTCAAACTTGCAGCTAGTTCTGTATTTAAGTTAAATTAGGTTCAAAGTGAAACATGGAGATATTTGATATCAGCAATTTTTTTACTGCAATTAGTACGAATAAAGCTGTGAATGTCATTTTTTTTTTAAAGATTTTTGCTGGTTGGTCAGTTCAGTACAATTAATAAAATCCCTTCCAATGAAATAATAGCTCATATAAACTCTTGCACAACTTAGCCTTTGTAAGTATCACAAGCTGCTGCGGATTTTAAATAATAGCTCATGTAAACCCTTGCACAACTTAGCCTTTGGAAGTATCAGTGACAAGCTGTTGCGGATTTTAAGTTCATTTGCAGCATTTGCATTGCAAAAGATAGTTCTGAGTGGCGCTTATGTTTCTTTTCATATGCAATCATCTGCTTTAGATGTGATAGAAGCTAAATCAAAGTATCAGATATCTGATATCTGTGTATTATTAGGATGTTGATATACTTGAAAACACTAATCTGAGCATTCTCCAGATTTAAGTTCTTACCAGTAACACTAAATTGCAATTAAAAGAGGAGAAGAGTGAGATATTCCTAAACATTAGAACTTTCTAAAATCCTCTCTCTCTCTCTCTCTCTTTGGTGTGTGTAATGTATGAGCAACTTGTTCACGTGCTGCTCTGACAGCACACTAGTAGAGCAAAACTTAGGATTTCATTGTTCCTTACTTAGACTAACTTTTCTCTTTTTATTTTTCAATTGATAGGTAATATATGAGTGGTATTCATAAAAAGGTATTCCTCATATATAGTAGGTGTGCAAGTAAGTTCCAACAAAAGGTTAATCCTAGATTCTATGCATACAAGGGTAATATGCCTTTCGATGAGAGCACATGAAACAAAATCCAGTTCTACATATTCTTATAAAAGTTTGCTCAAGGCATTTTCTCTACCCCTTCTTACCTTGAGAAAGTGGGGCACCTTGCATTCTTGAACTGATAAGCATCTTTTGGCTAAACCTAGCCTCCTCTGTCCCAGGGACGTGGAGAGCTAATTCCCATTTCTTACTGAGTTAATAGAATTAACAGAAAATTCTTCTCTGGATGTAGGAAACTTGTTAAACTTACTCCACATGATCTTGTCTTTGTATATGTCATATTGGCTCACATGTTATTGGTATGGCTGTTGCTGTAACCAGCAAAATTAATAAGGGGACACTTGGTTTGCTAAGTTCATAATTGCGTGTTTCTGAAATGCTGTTTCTTGACCGGTCCACTGACTGTTGGCAATCTGGTTTGGTTCTCTAGATCATAAATGAACCTGCAGATGTGCACTGTCCTGTTGTAGAGATGGCAACAAGGTCTAAGCTTAGCTGCTTGAGTTGGAACAAGTACACTAAAAATCACATAGCTAGTAGTGACTATGAGGGAATAGTGACTGTTTGGGATGTGATGACACGGCAGGTAAATCTTCTATCACTTAGTACTGTATTAGTAAGGTACTTGTTTGTTTGTTTTGAGGATGGTAAATTTGTACTTTGGACCTAACTTGGTTGATTAATTTTTATATGATGATAAACTTGGACAATTCAGAGTATCATGGAATATGAAGAGCATGAAAAACGGGCATGGAGTGTTGACTTTTCGCGTACTGAACCCTCAATGCTTGTATCTGGAAGTGATGATTGTAAGGTACTATAATTAGTTTTTACTCCTGGAAGCACAGTGATCATGAACAGTTAGTACATTCATATTTCCTACTTGTTCTTTTAGAGCTTTAACGTTGTCTGTGCATTACAGCTGTAATTAAGTAGAGTCAAGTAACTCACATGCAAACTAGGCTCGAATGTCGTATAATCAAAGATTGATGTGACAAAGTAAATAAGATGAATTATCCGTTCAAGCTTGAGTCTTGTTCATTTTTAGAATCTTGAGCTTGACTCTTGTTTGTTTGTTGATAATTAAGTTTTGAGTTAAATTACATTTGAATGTGCCAGCAACCAAATGAATTGGATTTTAGCGTGCAAATGCAAGAAGCCAGTATTCTGTCTTATGTACAGACAGCAGAGACAGAAATGCATAACATACAATACTATTTTTCTATTGCAAGCAGTGCTGGCACCTAGATATGCAAAGAAACTACATGGACCTGGAAAAACACTATTGAGAGGGTTCAAAGGACGGTGCTGAAGACTTCCAAGGATGGGTCAGCACAGTGTTAGCAGAGAGGAGAGGGAAAAAGGAAGTGAAATGGTGCATTTGTCTACTGTTGACTTTCATGTGGTTCGTAGTTAAAACAAAGATTAATTTACTTGAGTTCAAAAGTAGATTTTGGAGTGGAAGTAGTGAGAAAAACAGGTAGAATTGGGAAAAACTGAGAGTGGAAGCTGTAGAAAATGACAAGTTGGGAGTGAAAACTAGAAACTGATAAAAATTGAGCCTATTTTGTGATTGAGCTTTACTTGTTAAGAAGACCAAACATTTTTAACAGATGAGTTTGACTGAGCTCCATGAATAAATCTGTTAATGTACACCTTCTATCATTCATGCATGTGATAACATCTGTTGTAAATCTCTAGTGAGATGTATGAGCTCCATCATATTTCCTTGGATAAAATTGCAGGTCAAAGTCTGGTGCACAAAGCAGGAAGCTAGTGTTCTCAACATTGACATGAAGGCAAATATATGCTGTGTAAAGTATAATCCTGGATCGAGTGTTCATGTTGCGGTAAAGTATTTTTGTTATCAGCCTTGTTCTTAATCTGGAGTCTGTTTACTTCTACTAAGTTTGTAGAATCTGGTTGATTACTTGTCCAAATAATTGAATGTGGTTTTGCATAATAGGTGAATGCTACCTTGTATCATGTTGCTGTTACGAGCAACTTTACATAGTTTTCCATTTTGCAGGTTGGCTCTGCAGACCATCACATCCATTATTATGATTTGAGAAACACCAGCAACCCACTTCACATATTTAGTGGGCATAAGAAAACCGTTTCATATGTGAAGTTTCTGTCCACCAATGAGCTTGCTTCTGCATCAACTGACAGCACCCTGCGGCTGTGGGATGTGAAGGAAAATTTGCCTGTAAGTTCAAAGAGTAATCCATAATTTAGTGAGGTGATAAACTCAGTCTGAAATTAGCACTGTCACTCCTAAAAGGGTCTTTTAAAGGACGAATGGAATGAAAGTGGCTAGTTTTGGAGTGAGTTCATCACTGGGTGAAATGTGTCAATTGTTTAAATTTGTTGTAGTGACATACAGCTCCTAGTGGTAAATAGCCGTTATCATCTCCATTGACTATTTGTGACTGGCTTTTGATATTCAAATTGGTACTAATTTCCAATTGTTTTCGTAGGTTCGTACATTGAGAGGGCATACAAATGAGAAGAACTTTGTGGGTCTCACAGTCAACAATGAATTTATTGCTTGTGGTAGTGAAACAAATGAAGTATTCGTATACCACAAGGTCGGTTATCTTTTCTTGAACATCATTTTTATTTGATTGTAGAAAAAGCGTTGATTCTTACATGCACTTTTGGGCTTAATAGGCTATTGCTAGACCTGTGACTTGGCACAAATTTGGTTCTCCGGAAATGGATGATGCTGATGAAGATGCAGGTTCTTACTTTATTAGTGCAGTATGTTGGAAGAGTGATAGCCCCACCATGTTAGCCGCTAACAGCCAAGGAACAATTAAAGTGCTACTGCTAGCTGCATGAGTGCGTGAAATTAATATGTTTATGTGTCCTCACGAATACTAACAATTTATTACTTGTGAAAGTGTCAATCAACTTGATAATTGATCGGTGAGCTATTGATACCAAAAATTGGTACCTGATGCTTAGAAAGAAGTTGTACTAAATAGTTGTTGTGACTCCAGAATGATACAATTTTAGGTGTTTGGTCTTTTTATCTATTATTTTCTCTTCATCTAACATCTTGTAGATAGTTTGAATATAAAAGAAGTGGAATTGCTCTTTTCTTTCAGTTCTAGTGAAAGTTCTTCGATGAAATGCTTCTATTGGACTGCATTCTTCTGCGGCATCGAGTAATATTTCTGGCGCACTCTTGTTACGCTATTTGCAACAACTTTCACTTAATCTACTAAGGACACTAAAATACGATAAAGAGTGATTTTTGAAACTGATTCAAAGGCAGCTTTGGATCTAATACAAGGAGTAGGTTCGGAATTACCATTATCCAATCTGATACTTCTCATCAGGAATTACACATGTAGGGATTGGGAATGTAGACTACAACATGTTTGGAGAGAAGGGAATGGGTGCGCAGACTGGCTGGTTAAAAGAAGTGTTAACAGTGAACAAGGGATGCAGATTCTAACTGAACCTCAACAGGAATTGCGGGAATTGATTGGAGCAGATATTTTGGGTGTTGCAACCCTGCGTTTTGTCCCTGCTTAAGAGGGTCGACCTCCCCCATGTGAAAAAAAAAATACGATAAAGAAATGAGGTACTATTTTCATATACTATTCAATTAACCTGCAAAATTATGACAAACTAAATACAAAAGCAAAAGCTTAGAAGCTTTTTTTTGTTTTTTTTTTTGCCAAAATATATAATTTGTTGGGCAAGGGTCCATTGGGTGATGGACAAAGGTCCAAAGACAATACAAAAGTCTACTAGCACAGAAGAGTGGGATTAACCATTCTTCATCTTGATACATGTTTAAGCATTTTTTTTTTTGGTGCAAGTGGCATGCTTTGAATTCGGGTCTCTTACTCATATATTTTCCTCCCATATCACCTAATCCATCTCTCCCCACCTCTCTGATATATGTTTAAAACATGATTGCTGAGAGATATAATTATATCATTTTTTCCTATTTGTACAACTTGGGGGGGGGGGGAGCCCGCGCTAAGCGCAGGAGTTTTAACCTATGCGATAAAATATTTATTCAAATACATTTATGGAAAAGATAATAGAATTAGAACTGCATGGTAATTGATTTAATTGAATCAATTGAGGTGCATGAAATATATAAGTAAATTGGCCAAATCAACAAACTTATAAAGGAAAACAAATTTAGAAGTAAAAGAATAGGATTGTGGTAGATAATCACACCATACCACAACAACAATAGCAAAAATATCATTACCTTTGTTACTACACCATTATAACACAATCGTAGTCATGTCCAATCAACAATTAACATGTATCAACTATAAGATCAGATTTAGATCCTACCTTGGTAATAAAATTGCAATCAATAAATAATCTTTAGTTGTAGTTTAACCACCCACGAACATCAGATTTTGGAAATATCAATGTAAGAAAGTTCCTATGGATATTCATATGTATGCATCATGTATTCCATAACAAAATTTCCATATTCATACAATAGCTATTGAGAAAATATTGTAGTAGAAAACTCACAATTTTTATTGTATCTGCTAAACATCCAAAACTGTAGAAAGAGAGAAAGTAAATGAGCATACCTGTCCAAATACCCACAACAAAAGATTGATTACAGGCATTTGAAGCAACAATCTTCAGTATTAAAAGTCTCCATTATTGTCAAGTTGAAGAGCACTACAATTTTACTTGTAATAGATTGGAAATATGAACCAAAATCAATCATGTTTATTATTAAGTGTTTTCTGAACCAATCATCTTTAGCATTAAGACCCTCTATTATTGTAGCTATAAAAGCTATCCAACAATTATAAAAGAAGATGAAGAGCATTGCAATTACATTTGTAAGTGATTTAAACACCACTTAAAAGCTTGATAATCACATGGAAAAATAAGCTAATTGCAAATGGGAAGACACAATAATTAAACCCAACTCAACTATACATTATAATGTTGTACATTTGGCTTAATCACTTGCATTTGATTTTTTCCATATCTAAATTATCCCCAAAAATGGCAAATGAAAAATTTTTCAACAGTCACCTACAAACTCCTTTATATATATATATATATATATATATATATATAAAGGAGCACTATAAAAACAGTAATACGAAGGACTTGATGTCTTCTATGAATGTTGCAATTCGAACTGCCATGTAACTTTGTTTCTAGAGTTGAGCAAATCAACTATTTGTTCGCCACTTCCATGCATATGCTTCTCCACCCCTTGCTCAGCTGCTTTGATGATTGCACGTGATTATATTAAATCAAATACAACATTTCTTTGATATTCATTTTTTTTCTTGGAAAATTTGATTATTTACCTTATAATAAAATATTTTATATTTTTAATTTATTTAATCAATTCTTATTACAAAGACTATCTAGATTTGGACTCTTTGATCTATTCGTTTTTTAATTTATTTTGAGATTTTTGATAAATTATGGATTTAACTTTGATAAACAAATCTTAATATGGTCATGTTTTACCAAAGTTATTGTATACTCATAATATTTTTATCATTAAATCATAATATTGAAGGTCATTGTGCCACTTCTATTGAAGTTAGTGTTATTAAGGTTACTGCACACTCGTGATGCCACAAATTAAAACGGTTTTAATTACAAATCCATTATTTATCAAATTCTATTTTTTGTAGCATTTGATGAAGAAATAAATTCTGGCATTAAGTATCAAGTAATAAACATGTCTGTGATCTCACTTTGAAAATTCAATGTAGTATTGAGAATGACATATTTTGATGGCTAATAATACCTATGTGCTTTGCGTGTGATTTATATTCCAAAATGTAGTATCATTAGATACTAAAATTTTTCATAATTTTGATTGTCAACCGTACTACAATATTCATATGTTCTTTTGTTAACCAACTTTTTTGAATGCATCAAATGATAAACCGACGTTTTTCCAAGCAGATCCTTTTTTTAGAGCATTTAAATAATTTGTATCTTTGACTTTAACAAACAAATACTGTTATCATGATTTTCCAAAGTTACACACTTTGATATCATTACACTTACTACCCGTTTGGTTGCCACTCCGGAATGGCAATGACAATCACTATCAAAACGTCTTCAATCGGAATAGGTTTATGCTATTCCTTTTGAGGTGTTTGGTTTAGGAGAAGCAATGGGATGATTATTGATTTTGTTGATTGGTTTATTCACAGTCATCAATGGGAATACAAGCCCAATTCAACAACTATTTTCCTATGAATAAATAAAAAGTTATGGGATAATTTCAGATGCCTCCCCTGACTGGAAGCTTGTTCATTGCATTCAAGTGGAGGAAGAGGTTGATAGTGTTAGTCAAATCTGGATCACGATTAACTCAAATCCTGATCCGGTTATTATGACTTAACTCAATTCCAAACCTGGTTTCTAGCTAATCCGGACTTCTGTGATACAGATTCATGCTTGTGCTAAACAACTACTAAGAATACAAGGCCGGATTGTGGATTCGCTATTCAATCCATGGCCGGATTGAACCTAAGCCAGTTTCCCTATAGTTAGGCAGTTTTATCCAACATAAACAAAATAAAATTTGTACATAAAATTAATACTGCAATCATTAATATAATACATTTTTAACCAGAATCAAGTCTTTTATAATACATAAAGACCATCTACAATAATGCAAAAAAGTCCAGTGATGGTACTAGCCAAGTTAGCAATCTGATCAACATATGCCAAACTAGTATAATAACTTCCAAATCCAAAAAGTTCAAAACTATCACAAAAGACCATTCCATGATGGTAGTAGTTTATAATATACAAAAAAAACTAGATGCAATGGTTGATTTTTAACAATTAGGAGGATAAAGAAGGTTAATTATGTAGGGATACTTTGCATCAACTAGAAGTTGAGAAAATATATTCAGTTTGGCTTCTTCATTAGAAAGGATATCAGTAGCCTTGAAAACATCAGAGAAATTTCCAATTTGATGATGAATTTTAAAAAGTTTCTGCAAAATGAGTGTTTTAAGTGTAGACTTCCGTCAAGGGGTCTTCGCATTTGTAAAATGCGAACTGAATGCTTCGCATTTGACAAATGTGATGTCCCCTTGAATTTTCAATCCAAAAAAGGGGAAAAAAAAGAGAGTTACTTCAGACCTCGCATTTGCCAAATGCGAGGTCAAGTAACCTCGCATTTGTCAGCCGCGAGGTCATGGAACTCGCATTTAACCTATGCCAAATGCGAGGTCAAGTAACCTCGCATTTGTCAGCCGCGAGGTCATGGAACTCGCATTTAACCTATGCGAGGCAGGGAGCCATTTATATTTCAATCCAAGGCTCTTGCGTTTCTTTTCTTTTCTTTTCTTTTTTGCAAAATTAAGCAAGCTATTTTTTTTAGAGTGTGAATTTTGTTTTTTGTTTTGTAAAATTATGGAGGACGAATTTGTAGGTTATTAAGTGATTGCCAAAAAAAAATCCATTAATCTTGAATTTCACGTTAAAACCATACTGAATGATAATTGATATAATCAAGAGTAAATCATTATTTTAGCATTTATGTAATGTTTAAAGAAGATATTAACTAAGCACTAATATTACTTAATTGGACAGATGCTTCCACATACTTCAGTAATTCAACAAAATTGGCACCCCAAATGCCATATCATCCTCAATATCGCATAAAATACGACTAATAATCACTGAAGAAGTCATTGCTTTTCTTATCAATCTTCACTAAATTGTTTTCTTTTTCCACGGTTAAACAGAAAGGGACATTCTCTCTCTCTCTCTCTCTCTGCTTTTTTTTTTTTAATGGCAAACTCCATTCATAGATGAGGGATGCTAACCTTTTATTTTATTAAACCATAAAGTAAATAAACATTACAAGAGTTTGGAATGAGCATACGTGACCTGAATATAATCATGACAACTACTACGAAATGGCTAGCTAAAAAGAATCTATGTAAACACATATGTACCATCTAATAGCACGCTTTCTGAAAGAAGTCATCTATGCTCTATCTAAAGAAAATGATCATCGAGCTAGAGCTAGAAGAGAGTCCACGGAAGTGTGTATCAGCTATGACAAGATTTCTTTTTTACGTAAAAAGGGATTTTATTGAATAGAACATG